GTATTTCGTATAATTCACAATATTATACCCACCTATAAAGAAACATATTTGACAAGGTTTGACTCTTAATCCCAATTTCACAAAATTATTTAAACACGATTTCTTTTTTCCCAACATACTTATTAACATCCTACAGAACACTATTCTGAAGAACAAGCTATTTGCTATACAGATGGAGTAATAACTGAAGCTCTACTAAAATATCCATATTAAAAATTCTGTCCAGAAATATATTCACTATATTTTCCAAATAATTTCTCTAAAAGCACTTGGTTGGACTGCCATTCTCTTAAACCTGCTCCAAATAGGTGGAGGAACCCCTTCCACCTGATAGAAACTGGTCTTGTCAAAGTCATTTATGACCTCTACATTGCTAAAAAGAAAAAAACAAACTCCACAATGGTCAGTTCTTAGGGATTATTTTACTGGACCTAATGGCAGCATTTCACAAAGTTGATCATTTTCTACTTCTTAATAGACTTTTTTCACCTTCTCCCAAGACACGAAACTCTTAACACATTGGCTATTTCTTCTCATACTCCTTTGTAGGGTCCTCATTTTCTCTTTGTACTTTCAGAATACCTGAGGGCTCAGTTCTTAGATTGCTTCTTTTTATATTTATATAATACTCCCTTGGTGATTTCATTTAGTCTCAAGGTTTAAAAATATCATCTGTATTTTGACAATTCCAAAATATACATTTCCAGCTCAGCTCTCTCTCCAAATTCCAGACATATCTCTCCTTCCTCTCAACATTGTCTCAAAGTTGATATGCCCAAACCGAACTTCTGATCTTCCTTCTTAAATGTCTTTAACCTGTAGCCTTCCTCATCTTAGTTAATGGCAACTATCTTTCTGGTTCTCCATAAACATCAAGCTTGGAATCATCCTGTTCTCCTCTTTCATGCTTATATCCAAACCATAAGCAAATCTTCCTGGCTCTACTTGCAGATTATGTGTGGCGTCCAAACACTTTCCACCACCTCCTCTGCTATCATCCTAGTGTACTGTGTGAGCTGCCGCAATTTCTCATTCCGGAATACTGAAATAGCCTAACTGGCGTTCCTATTCTACTGTTGTCTCTCCATAGTCTATTATCAACACAGCTGCTACAATGATCTTTTTTAAATGTACAGAAGGTGAAGTCATTTATTGCTCATAATTCAGCTATCACATCACATTGCAAGGCCAAATTCTATACAAAAGCCAAAAAGCCCTACATAATCTGTCCTGCTCCCTACCCTTACTACCTTTATGAACTCATCTCCAACTATTCTTCCTTGTTCACAGGCCACAGGCTTTTTTGCTGTTCTTAGAACTTGTCATACATGCTTCCATCTTCCATGCAAACAATTCAAACCTATGCAAATTCACCTTCTCAGTGAGGCCTACACTGACCATCCTGTTGATAATCGCAACATATGCTTGGCCTTCCTGCCCTCCCAGTATTATGATCCTCCTTTGTGCTACATTTTTTTCTGTAGAGTTTATCATCCAACATAGTAATTTACTTATTATGTTTATTGCCTGTGCCCTTCTACTGGAATGTAAGCACTGGCACCCTGTGACATTATAATGAATAACAATAAATAGGACGACACAACAAATTATCTACTGTAAAGAAGTAAAAATAATTTTCCCTCTTCCTTTCCAGGTTGCTGACTGAGATACCTCTTCATCCACCCTGCCATCTTGTAAACAAAGACAGGTTAACAGGAGAAAAACAAACAGATGTTTAATAACATATATACCTCCTGTATACATTGGAGATACCCAGGAAAACACAAGTAATTCTCCAAAATAGTTCAAGCTATCACCTCAAATACCATCTCCAGAGAAATACAAAAGATGTTGGGGTTGAGGGAGCCCATTATGAAAGGTTTTTGGGTAACACACAGTAAAGGTTGTAACAGGGGTTCAAGTCCATGACTTCTCCAGTGGTCAGTTTCTAGAGATTTAGTCGTCCTCCTCCTCCTAGTGCAGAGGGAGACACTCTTACAAATGGAGATTTTCCTTACAAATGTAAATGTCTCCTACAAAATGCAACCTTGGTTTTCAGAGCTTCTCCCTAGTCTAGTTTTTTTATTTTTTTAGAAAATTAATCAGCCTAATATAATTCTTTTTTTTTTTTTTTTAAGATTTTTAAAATTTACTTGAGAGAGAGAGCACAAGAGGGGAGAGGGTCAGAGGGAGAAGCAGACTCCCTGCTGAGCAGGGAGCCTGATGCGGGACTCAACCCTGGGACTCCAGGATCATGACCTGAGCTGAAAGCAGTTGCTTAATCAACTGAGCCACCCAGGCACCTGCCTAAGATAATTCTTAAGCCTAAAAGGCATATTCTGAGGTGGCAAATTCTGCTCTTCACTAGTTAGTTCCACCATAGAGCAAGGTCTGGAGAAAAGTTGGGGAGGAATTTGAGTTGCAAAGTTAAGAGAAGAATCTGAATTTTGTAGAAGGGTCAGAGGCCGCAGGGCAGGAACTTATGTACCCCGTATCTACTGTTATCTTTCAGTGACTTTGGTTGTAGTTGATGTACACGTAAATTGCTTCATCCACCCTTTCTGACACCACCTTCAGATGGAAAGAAATCTTGGAGAAGCAGATCAGGTAAAACAAGGACCTATGCCTGATTCACTGATGCAGTATTTCATCAAAAGTCTGGTAATGATAAAATTTTAAATTACCTCCTAGTATTGCAATTATCTCCTGAATTATATTTCTTCATTTGGATTGGATGTTGGGGTTCCTCTTCCCTGCTATTAGTTTTCTTTAAATAGCTGATATTCCTTGGACATCTTTTATGAAGGACTACATCAAAATGCAGATGCTGTGAAAAGCAAATTTCCTCAGCAATTACCTATGCCTGCATTAGACATCCATTTTGAACAGACGCTATAGTTCTGTGTAAGTTGTTAGGACATTTCAACCAGCAGGCACCTACAACTGAGTATGTGGGCGGCATGCAGAAGTCATTGTTCCCTACACAAACCCAAGTAAGGAGGCTTACTCTGGGATTGGAATGCTGCCATTACTCACCCTCACCATCCCCAGGTGAAAATTCACTTTACCTCCATTCTTTCTATGGCACTTCAACATCCTCCCTAGGGAACCTCCCTAGGAATAAGATAATCTGTATCTTTGAAGACTTATTCTCTTAGGCTTTACCCTTAGGGCTTACCTATGGGTAAAGCCTAAAAGCTATCTCAGTAACAGTTTAGCTGGAAGAAAGAAGGTTGGGGGGGGGGTGACCCAATGCAATTTTTAATGAATTAGCACGATTGAGGATTGGCCCATTCCTTCTCTTTGTCTCCTCCCATCCCCACCCACCCAAATCTGAGCCTTAAAACTTCTCCAGGATACCTTGGCTGTGGTTATTTGATTTTTCTCTCAATCCAATTCGTTCTGCTTTATACCTTCCTGGACTATCTCAAAACTCCTCTTGTTTTCCAAGCATTTTTATGGCTTCACTCTTATATCATCTGCCATTGGAACCAAGAGAGAGGGGAAACAATCATGGCTGGCTGATTATATTCAACCTCTCATCTGGAATTGAAGGGACCAGCATTAACATTAATATATAAAACTTTAGAAACCTACTAGTGGTACCAGTATCTTCTTTATGCTGTTTGGCAATGTTCTCTTTTTCCCCCAGTGTGTTCTTTTAATTGCTAAACAAACTTCCATTTCAGAAAATTAAAGTAACTCCAGGAATGTACACATTTTTAGTTGTCCTTGGGCAACCTGAATTTTCACAGAACTAATCTCAGAATTGAAACTGAAATTCACAGCACAAAAATTGCCTAAGATCAACCATCAGATCAGGAGTTAATTATACCAATTCTAGAGCACCAAAAAAAATCTCATGTCTACTATATGCCCTATAGCATCCAATTCAAGACATATTCAATCCAAAAAACTTGAAGAATTACAGAAATGTGTTCAAGACAAAGACTAAAAGTCATGTTTTATATATATAAATATATAAAATATATTTTATATATATATTACTGTTTTGCCTAGAAGCAAAAAAGAGACTGACAGATTTCATGTGTTGATTTGTGTAGGAAGTATAGATTAAGCTACTGCATTGGTCATTTTTTAAGTACAGAAGAAAAAGTATAAGTTATGGCGGAAACTTCTATGTTGATTACTGGTCTAATTTCCAGTACCTTATCCATCAAGCCACACAAGCACACACACCACATACACCCTTACATTACCTATGTATCTTTTTGATATTTAGTTTGTACCTTAAGTGCGTAATGACTCAGGGTCCATTTTTTCCTTGCAAAAATTATGCAAAAGGCTCAAAAGGGAGATTTTTTTAAAAAGAGAGAGAAAGAGAAAAAGAAAGAGAAAGAAAGAGAAAGAGAAAGAGGGGGTTCAAATACATGTTCAGAATGGGAAAAACAAGGAATAGTCAGGCCCTAAAGAAAAAGGGGACAGATGCTAATAATATAAAGTTAATCCTGACTTGAAAAATATTTTTTCTTGCCTTGTTTGTTCTATTGATAGGATACAGATGATCTTTAGTCCAAAATTCAAGGTATGGCTATTTTCTGATTATCAAACAAAATCAGTAAGTATACCTTCCAGAAAATAATTTAGATATATAGATTTAATAGAATAATTTCATCTTCTTCAGAGTTTTCAAATTAAAGATTATAATCAACAAATATAGCTTTATGCAATGTCTCATCTTTTCCCCAATGAGGCCTAAAAGAGGAAAGAATACTTGCTCCTAGCAAGCAAATACAACAAAATTATAATTAACAAAATCTTTGAGCTACCAAAATTCGTGAGGGAAGGAGGATGATAAGAAAGTAAGAGAAATTACCAAATGTCAAACAAACAAGGCTCTATCAGGGTTTTCAGGTTAGTCAAAAGTAACTTTTGGAATATGGTCTATGGTCAGCATAAGCAGCCCCATTGTTTATATAGCCTCCATAGCTCTAAAATTGCAGAATAAACTTTTAACAATAAAATGAAAACCAAGAACATCATATTGTAAATATTATATTTCTCTCACTCACACACAATGTTGTATGAGACATTTACTAGTTTTAGTATGTATCCATAGGATTAATACTCGTATGGAGTATAATGCAAAAAGTGCTGAACTAAAGAAATAAGTCTATATGAAAACAAAAGCACACATTTCTTAGGATTTAAAAATATTGCACATAATAAGGTTGCACAGAAATTACTGGCTGTTTTTACAAACAGAATGAGGTATTAGTCAATCTCTAGATAAAGATGAGTGCAAAGAAGAGGAACCACACACACATAAAAAATACATAAATCCATATAAGACTTAGAGCGCCAACAACAAAGAAAGAAATGTGAAATGATATATAAATTAGCTATGATTTCAACACTACAAAATCATCAGCCAGGGACCAAGCATGTAACAATCTCTTGGTAATATTTCAAAAGTTTTCAACTTTCTTTCAGCCAAATGGCTATGAGCAATCCGATCATTTCACTTACTCCAATTTTACTGCAGAAAGGTATGGTTCTGTGGTAAATATTAAATCATGCCTTTCTAAAGTTTTCAGTGGAAAGATACTGCTATCCTTTGCTGAATGACTCAATTACAGTTTCGTGTACATTTAGCAACCCAAATCAGAGATGCCGCAGAGCATGCAATTTTAAATTAGCAAAGGTTTCACTGCAAAAAACCATTCAAGTTCACACAATTTAAATCTACAATAAGTTTCAAAGTTTAACCTTTAAATATATCAGGCAAACTCAATCTTTTCTTGGTAATAAAACTGGCCACGCAAGTAAGCCCAAGGGCAAGTAGAGAAAAAAGACCAGGCAGAATTATAGTATCTTTTTTAAAGAATCTTTCCTATCAGGGAAATTAATAATTAGCTATTTTCTACTGAGTGTTGCTGAATTTGTCAAAAACATTTAAATACATTTAATATCTATATCAAGTTAAGTGAAATCATGCACTTGTCAAAATAGTTCACAGAAAATTGTTTTGCATCAAAGGGTATTGAAGAAAAGTCAACTAGTTGGCTTTAGTGAGAACAGAAAATAGTGAACTACTGTCCTGAACAGTCAGTGTATGTAGTAACCATATTTCCTCTTCGTTGAGTGACAGTCCTGCAGTGCTTGCTAGATCCGTGGAATCTATTTTCAGTCTGTACTGTATGCCGATTGGTGTCAAAACCACTAAAAGAAAACATTTTCTCCATATCTTCAAACATGTCATCAAACAGTCCACCTCCAAAAGAAAACTCCTGGAAATGATGTCTTTGTCTACTGGAACCATCCTGGCGTGTCTGGAAGTGATTCTCAAAATGCTTCTTGGACCGAGTGTTTTGGTTTTGACCAAAAAACCCAAAGTCTTTAAATAAGTCATCAAAATTGAAGTTAAATGATTGCTCAAAAGGACTTCCGTTACCTCTTTGTCCTTTACCATTAGTAAAAGCATTGTGTCCAAGTGTATCATACTCTTTTCGCCTATTAGCATCTGAGAGTGTTTCATATGCTGAAGAAAATAAAAATACTTTAGTAACTTAAGATAATGAAAATTGCATATACCCAAACCTCCTCAGATAAGTGAATTCAACTCTCTATTTTAGGGAAGGATTTCATACCACCAATAAAACCAAAACATTACAAACGTAGGAAAAAAAGTTAAAATGAAAGTTACAAAAGGCAGGGCTTTTGTCCTATTTACTGTATAGTATCAACTGTCAGAATAATGCCTGCCCCTAGTAAATATCCAATAAATATTTGTTAAATGAATGCTACCATCACTTACAAATAAGCATGTGGGCAGCAATTGCAGTTATTTTTCATATTATTTGGGTAAAAACATTACTTGTCTTAAATAATTTAATGTTCCAATATAACCAATCAAGAATTCAGATTTTTCACTTCCTTACTAGTTGAAGTGTTAAAGTTTATCTCCAACTCTCTACTCAATTACCTCCACCACCATTAGTTACTGAATTCTCAGGTGGTCCAATTTGTTTTAAAACTAGTCTTAAATCAAAATTTGTTTAATATTTTTCCTTCAAAGATAAATGTAGCTTTTAAGTATAGATCAAGTGAAGAAAAAAAAAAACAAAACATTTCAAAGTCTATTTAAATTTTTTATACTTAGTATTTTTGTATTTAATCTCCATATTTGGTAAAAACTGTTCTGTAAGTTAGCTTCTAAGTTTTGGGTATCTAAAATTCCTTTTAACTTGGAAACAATAAGCAATTTCATACACAACAGAAGAATAAAGTGATACATTTTTAACAATTTAAGATCTATATGACAATAAAAATTTATT